CATGAACTCTTCTGTGACGTGTCTTTCAATCACACGTTTCAGCTTTAGTGTCCAGATTCAGCAATCCAATTCTGTCCAAATCATGTCCAAATTCAGAAATCCAATTGTTACAAATGATGTCCATGCAAAAGAGGACGCTGGTGTTGTCCATGTCTCAGCAGCTCACAGCCTGAGTGGAATCAGGGGCTGTGCAGATTGTCCATGTGCTGATCCAGATGCATTCTCTTGAGGTTTCAGTTTTGGCTTGAAAAAAAAAACACATTTTTGTGTAAAAAAAAAATGCCCGCATCCTTCCACCACCTGAAGAAGATGACATAGTCTGGGATCGCGTCTTTAATTCTGACAGAAGACATGTTTTATTGTCGATGGTAGAGACAGCACGAACAACACGAACAACAGAATGCAAGTGTATTATACAGAGCGGAGGCATGGAGACCTCCAATCAGCAGCTTCCACGGTGCCATGTAGCGGAGGCATGGAGACCTCCAATCAGCAGCTGCCACAGTGCCATGTAGCTTGGCCTTCAGATAGACAAAACAAGGGAAAAGTACTGGCTTCTGCACATTGATAGAATGATGAGTTTAACTTTAACAAAAGTTGCGTAATACTAGTATACGTTTTTACAGACTTGAAATTTCCAGTAACTTGAATTTAAACACTTAGTTGGCAGAACTTGGAAAACTTAACTGACACAACTTAATAAGTGTAGTTCTTCAAAACTTGAAGAATTAAGTTAATGCCTTCAACTCAAAAATCCTTCGCAGCTGGTTGCTTTGAAATTTTGAGTTGAACTAACTTTTTCTTTTTTACAGTGTGCATGGACCAGAAGTCCAATTAAAATAATGGACAATTGCTCCTGCAGCGACTACAGTATATAGCACTGCATGAAAAGTTAGATTTTCGTCACCCTAAACGGCAGGAAATCACGCTCTTTTTCATGCTAATGTCCCTACTTTGCATATGAATGCAGCGAAACACCAGTGAGCAGTAGCGTCGCTACAAGTAGCGTCGCTACTAGCTTAACTACATTTTTCAGTAGCTTGACAGTAGCGTCACTATTTACAAAACCTAGTAACTTTTCTGTAGCTAAGCTATATTATTGCTCAAGTAGCGCGGTAGCGTCCGCCAAAGCTATTTTCTCACGGACATCTCTGATGTTCATATATTACAGCATTTTCCCGCTGCATAAAACAAACATATAGAAAGACAGAATGCTGATGCGCATGCGCAGGGCTTGGTAACGACACACACACACACGAACGTATGTTCGTGTGTTTTAGGCGCGGATCATTGGAGCGGATGCCTCCATAGTTAGCAGCTATTCATTCTGGTTTAGTTTATGATCGTTTCACACATGCTAGGGTTTTGTATCATTCATATTATAACACAACTCTTAAAAAAAGAAATAACTCTGTTGTACAGCTGAATGATGAAAGGTTTTGTGAAATTTTAACACTAATAGATTTTACATCTGAAAATGGATTGTCAGGTCAAGCTTCTGTTTTAGTTAAAGCTGAGTAAAACTGATCATGTTTGGAGAGACAGCTGAAGATATCTTCTACATTTATTACTGAAGTGTTAAGTGTTGCTATTGATCCTTGAATGTTTGGATCCTTGAATAAATTGTTTGTTGTTCCTCTGCCAAATAATATTGAAAGAGATTAAAAGTAAGGAAATGCAAAGTATCTTTTTTGCCAGATTAACAACATATTAATAGTTTATTTTAGTCTTAGTGTAAATGAAAAAAAATATATATACATATATATATATATATTCTATCTCTCAACAGCTGTCAATCCAACACTATTGAATTTGCTGTGTACTAAAATCAAGTGTATTTTCTCTTACATTCAAGTATACTACCATAAAATATATTTAGAATACAAATCTGTAATGTATTTATGATATATTTTTCTTGTACTAAAATTAAGTGTAGTTTTCTTAAATACATTTTAAGTATACTCCTGTGAAATATGTTTAAAATACAGATCTGTAATATATTTTAGGTATATTTTGAGCGTAATAAAAATTAATATATTATTTTTCAAATATATTATAATATAATAAATAATAAATGTATTTGGAGTACTTCTCTAAAATACACATTTAGTAAACTTTAAATATACTAGATTTAAATATAATTTAACAAAATATGTTTACAATGTATTAGTTAGAAATGGAATACACTATAAGTATATTTAAATGTATATTTTTTTCACTTGGGTGACTGTTCCAGAGGGCTCCTGTTTTAAGAAGTTTATATTTTGCTCTGCAATGCATTCTGGGTAGCATCACTGCTTCACCACATTTTGTTTTCAATCAACACAATATATTTGTTTTGTCATTAATGGACCAACAGGCTTACAGCAGAAGTATTTTCACTTAATGCAATAAAATCAGTATTGTACAGGGTGCTATGATAATATTATACAGTACTTATTTGTCAACCAAAAATATAAAACAGTGGAAAATGAAGTATATAGTATTTACTTAAATATTTTACATCAAGGTTTGGTCTGATTCACTTATTACAATGTAGAGTTTGCTTTCTGCTCTCCCTGTATAACTGTATACACAGCGCTGAGAAGGCACAGGTCCCGTGCTCGCGGTGTAAAAGCACAGGATGGCGCTGAGGCAGGAAGTGACCGTAGCCATGAGGTGAAAAACTGAACTGCGCATGTCGTAAAAGCTTACTCAAGTAATTCCCGCATCAATTTGTTTATTAACTTAAGTAAAGTACTGACTTTACAGACACCTTTCAAGTATTGTCTGATGCAGAAATACCATAGATGATACACACCAACACTTATGAAATGAAATTCAACTATGTCATTTAAAAGTTAGATTTTGACATGAATTGTAAAGGTTACTAATAGTGTGTGGGTGAACAGTAAACTTGGAGAAAAATCAAGTAAAGTATGATCAATAATTTTAGGTGAGGCGGATATAAGGATTTACAGTGTGTGGGCCTCACAGCAGAGGCCTAAAGCAGGGGCCTCATTACTTTAATACTTACAGTCTGTGGTAAATACACGGGCTTAGACTATATTAATATTGTATGTGTAACATTCAAAATAGATTGAGTGGTTTGCGGAGGAGAGAGCAGCGAGAGGAGTTTGGCAGGGAGTTAAAATAAATGAATTACAGCTTGCTAAATTATTTGAAAGCATCTTCATTATGATTGTTATATTTATGTATTTATTATAAATGTTAGAGATGCCAGAGAAAAGGCGTCTGCTTTTTTTCTGAGTGGGAGGAGACACCAGCGGAGCTGTTTGAGTCAAATAACGTTCAGCGTTATATTACCAATAGTTTCTCTTTCCATAACGATATTCTCTCTTTTTGGAAAGATCACCAACGTGATGCAAAAGTTTACGTTATATGCAGTAGTTTTAATGTCTGCGGGTTATTCCAGAGACTGGCCTGCTACAAGGAGTTGCCCGTTTTAACCAGATTGTCGATGTGCGCGGGGTAGAAACTCATAGGCGACGGATATAAGTCCGATGTACAGTACGCTAGGCTTAAAGCCACAGATAGTTGTCCGGTGAAGAGAGAAGAAAGAGCGATGAGACGCCAATGTAACCCTGCTCACAAGTGCCACCTGGTGGTTGTTTTGGTCATTGCAACGTCACTGGGAGGGGGGAAAATAAAAGACGCGTGAATCACACGTGAGTCTCGTGTGATTCACGCGTGAAAGGGCGACAAAACGGAATGGGACCTACTGTATTTCACCGTCTCCTGATAGAGCCGCAGCAACGGTTGTCTCGTGACTTTGTTCATGTGACATCGACTAGTCGGCGGCGCAGTACTGCACGTGACTTTGGCACAACATGGCGGCGCAGGACAGCGACATGCCAAACGAGGGTCCTAGTACCTCTCACCAATCATCACGCCAAGGCAGCACTACATCAAGCGTTTGGACATATTTTACTAAAGATGAAACCGGTACACAGGTGACGTGTAGCTTATGCAAAGGTACTCTAAAGTACAACAAAAGTACAAGCGCGCTGCACTCTCATCTGTAAAAGCATCCGACGCTAATGCTAGCCCAGAAGCAACCTTCTCAACAACAGTCAATCAGCAGCTTCACTAAACGGACTGTGCTGCCAGACAAACGAAGACAACAAATCACCAAGCTGCTTGTGAATCTCATTGTTAAAGACATCACTCAGCGCAGTGCATGGTGAAGGCTTCCGAGAACTAGTCAACTTTTTTGAACCGCATTACGTTATCCCCTCTTACCGCACAATATGGAATACTATAAAACACGAGTACAACGGTGTTCACGAAGAAATGGCGAATGAGATGAGAGGAAAAAGTGTGTCTCTAACGACAGATCTATGGACTTCACCAAATATGGAGCCGTATATTACAGTAACGGCACATTATATTACCAACACATGGGAACAACATTGATGACTGAGAGACACACTGCCTTTAACATTGCTGGTCGCTTAAGTGAAATTATTGAAAATTGGGGGATAAGCGCGTTTTGCACCGTTCATGACGATGCCAGTAACATGAATTTAGCACTGGAGCTCTGCCAAATGTGTCTAAAAGATTTGGGATGCAGCGGACACACTCTACAGTTAGCTATAAAGTCCGGTTTGGTCTTACCTGATGTGGCAAAGGCGGTCGATGCAGCGAGGAGAGTTGTCAGCCACTTTCGCCACTCCGCTCTTGCTACGTGTTCTCTCAAAACGCGTCAGGAACAACTCGGCATGAAAACAAATAAACTCCAGACTGATTGTCCTGTCCGCTGGAATTCTACCTTTACAATGCTCCAGCGGCTTTTTGAGCAAAGGATCGCAGTGCAGTCTGTACTTTCGGATGACGCAGTTACAAAACCAGCAGTCCAAAAGAAACTGGCAATGAGAGCTTCGCAGTGGGAACTTCTTGAACAACTTGTTCCAGTCCTGCAGCCTTTGGCCAAAGCCACCGAGATATTGTGCGGTGAACTGCACGTAGGACTTTCCTTTATTTACCCCGTGATCCTGAACATGGTCAACGTTGAGGGCTCTGATCTGTCTGCGGTGCGCGCATTTAAGAACACAGTCCGACAACAGCTGGAAACACGATTCAAACTGGACTCTGATGATCTGCCCTCGTCTATCCCAGTTGTGGCCTGCATGTTAGATCCTCGCTTCAAGCACCTGAAGTTCATCCCAGACAGCAAAAGAGAGAGCGCATACAGCCACCTGGACACCCTGCTTCTGGATGAGAGTGAGACGCTGAGCGTAACAGCTGCGTGTGTCTCTATTCATTTAAAAAGCAAAGATATATTGCTCATTCAACAATACTGATATCTGACAAAAAAACGCATAGATTACAGACAACGCATTATGTCCAACAAAAATAATTAAATCTGCTTCAATTTTTGCTTCTATTAAGTGCGTAAAATGCGCGCGGTGTAAGCGCTGAGACATTCATGGTATATTACTATACATTTAACAAGGGGACAATATTGTGTGGATTGTGTCGCTAATGTTCTACGTGTTTGTTAGATGTCGGTGTGAAAACCTGTGAAACTGAGCAGACGGGGAAGGACATAGGGAAGAAGGCGCGTCTTGAGCTGGACTTTGCGGAGCTGTTTGGGACGCATTTCGAAAGCGGGCAGAATACGGCCCGCGGCTCCACAGCAACTGAAGAGGCCAGACAAGATTTTCTCTTGCCCCAAATCCCAACTCTGGACAACCCGTTGCAGCGGTGGGCCCGAAACGAAAGGCGCTTCCCGCGCTTGGCAAGGCTCTCAAAGACATATCTGGCCATACCAGCAACCAGTAGCCCCAGCGAGAGAATTTTTTCTCTAGCTGGAAACACAATAACAAGACAGCGCGCCAGTCTCCATCCTGCACACGTAGATGAGTTAATCTTTCTTCATGAAAATACCAAGTCCAAAACAAAAAAGGTGACTGAGGAGGAAGAGCGAGACAGCGAGTGATTTAAAACCAGTCCAGTCATTAACGACTGTTTGAGCTAAAAACATTTTAGCCTAAAGTTAAATAGGAAGTTTAAATGATAAATGTTCTCTGTAAACATTGCTGTTTTGGAAGTTGAATGTAAAAATTTGCAGTTTTGCCAAATAAAATGCAAAGTTTAAAACGTCCTCTTTATTTGCGATGACGTCATCGACTAGTTGACGTCGACTCAACTAGTATGCATATAAAGTCGACTTTTAAAAATATGAAGTCGTTCAACCCCTAATGAGTACCATGGTGTGGTAAGACCAGGTGTGGTAAGACCAGGTGTGGTAAGACCAGGTGTGGTAAGACCAGGTGTGGTAAGACCAGGTGTGGTAAGACGATCGATTCCCGGTTAAGAAGCAAACCAAACCCCTCCTTTGTTAACCGTCTCCTTCATGTTTTATCTTAGAAATGTTTTTGTGTGACTTCCTGTCATTTACAAAAACAATCAAAACACTTCTGGTTCTACAGTCATTTCTGGTTCTACAGTCATTTCTGGTTCTACAGTCATTTCTGGTTCTACAGTCATTTCTGGTTCTACAGTCATTTCTGGTTCTACAGTCATTCGGTCCTTTCTGGTTCCCAGCTGGTGTTACCTGTGTGCGTTCGCTGGTGCGCCTTCAGGTGAGAACTCTTTGTGTAAACTTTGGTGCAACCTGCAAAAAAACACAAACACAGGATTCAGTGAAGAACGAGTCTGAGGCTGGGGTCTGTCAGGGCTGGGGTCTGTCAGGGCTGGGGTCAGGGCTGGGGTCTGTCAGGGCTGGGGTCTGTCAGGGCTGGGGTCTGTCAGGGGTCTGTCAGGGCTGGGGTCTGTCAGGGCTGGGGTCTGTCTGGGCTGGGGTCTGTCAGGGCTGGGGTCTGTCAGGGCTGGGGTCTGTCAGGGCTGGGGTCTGTCAGGGCTGGGGTCTGTCAGGGCTGGGGTCTGTCTGGGCTGGGGTCTGTCTGGGCTGGGGTCTGTCTGGGCTGGGGTCTGTCAGGGGTCTGTCAGGGGTCTGTCAGGGGTCTGTCAGGGCTGGGGTCTGTCTGGGCTGGGGTCTGTCAGGGGTCTGTCAGGGGTCTGTCAGGGGTCTGTCAGGGGTCTGTCAGGGGTCTGTCAGGGGTCTGTCTGGGCTGGGGTCTGTCTGGGCTGGGGTCTGTCGGGGCTGGGGTCTGTCAGGGGTCTGTCTGGGCTGGGGTTTGTCAGGGGTCTGTCTGGGCTGGGGTCCGTCAGGGCTGGGGTCTGTCTGGGGTCTGTCTGGGCTGGGGTCTGTCTGGGGTCTGTCAGGGGTCTGTCAGGGGTCTGTCTGGGGTCTGTCGGGGCTGGGGTCTGTCTGGGGTCTGTCAGGGGTCTGTCAGGGGTCTGTCAGGGGTCTGTCGGGGCTGGGGTCTGTCAGGGGTCTGTCTGGGGTCTGTCTGGGGTCTGTCAGGGGTCTGTCAGGGGTCTGTCAGGGGTCTGTCTGGGGTCTGTCAGGGGTCTGTCAGGGGTCTGTCAGGGGTCTGTCAGGGGTCTGTCAGGGGTCTGTCAGGGGTCTGTCAGGGGTCTGTCAGGGGTCTGTCAGGGCTGGGGTCTGTCAGGGGTCTGTCAGGGGTCTGTCAGGGCTGGGGTCTGTCAGGGGTCTGTCAGGGCTGGGGTCTGTCAGGGGTCTGTCAGGGGTCTGTCTGGGGTCTGTCTGGGGTCTGTCAGGGGTCTGTCAGGGGTCTGTCAGGGCTGGGGTCTGTCAGGGCAGGGGTCTGTCAGGGGTCTGTCTGGGGTCTGTCAGGGGTCTGTCTGGGGTCTGTCAGGGGTCTGTCAGGGGTCTGTCAGGGGTCTGTCAGGGGTCTGTCAGGGCTGGGGTCTGTCAGGGCAGGGGTCTGTCAGGGGTCTGTCTGGGGTCTGTCTGGGGTCTGTCAGGGGTCTGTCTGGGGTCTGTCAGGGGTCTGTCAGGGGTCTGTCAGGGGTCTGTCAGGGGTCTGTCAGGGGTCTGTCAGGGCTGGGGTCTGTCAGGGCAGGGGTCTGTCAGGGGTCTGTCTGGGGTCTGTCAGGGGTCTGTCAGGGGTCTGTCAGGGGTCTGTCAGGGGTCTGTCAGGGGTCTGTCTGGGGTCTGTCTGGGGTCTGTCTGGGGTCTGTCAGGGGTCTGTCAGGGGTCTGTCAGGGGTCTGTCAGGGGTCTGTCTGGGGTCTGTCTGGGGTCTGTCTGGGGTCTGTCAGGGGTCTGTCAGGGGTCTGTCAGGGGTCTGTCAGGGGTCTGTCAGGGCAGGGGTCTGTCAGGGGTCTGTCAGGGGTCTGTCAGGGGTCTGTCTGGGGTCTGTCAGGGGTCTGTCAGGGGTCTGTCAGGGGTCTGTCAGGGGTCTGTCTGGGGTCTGTCTGGGGTCTGTCTGGGGTCTGTCTGGGGTCTGTCTGGGGTCTGTCTGGGGTCTGTCTGGGGTCTGTCTGGGGTCTGTCAGGGGTCTGTCAGGGGTCTGTCAGGGGTCTGTCAGGGCTGGGGTCAGTCAGGGGTCTGTCAGGGGTCTGTCAGGGGTCTGTCTGGGGTCTGTCAGGGGTCTGTCAGGGGTCTGTCAGGGGTCTGTCAGGGGTCTGTCAGGGGTCTGTCAGGGCTGGGGTCTGTCAGGGCAGGGGTCTGTCAGGGGTCTGTCTGGGGTCTGTCAGGGGTCTGTCAGGGGTCTGTCAGGGGTCTGTCAGGGGTCTGTCTGGGGTCTGTCTGGGGTCAGTCAGGGGTCTGTCAGGGGTCTGTCAGGGGTCTGTCAGGGCTGGGGTCAGTCATGGGTCGGGTCAGTCATGGGTCTGTCAGGGGTCTGTCAGTCATGGGTCTGTCAGGGGTCTGTCAGTCAGGGGTCTGTCAGGGGTCTGTCAGTCAGGGGTCTGTCAGGGGTCTGTCAGTCAGGGGTCTGTCAGGGGTCTGTCAGTCAGGGGTCTGTCAGGGGTCTGTCAGTCAGTCAGTCAGTCAGTCAGTCAGTCAGTCAGTCAGTCAGTCAGTCAGTCAGTGTCAGTCAGTCAGTCAGTGTCAGTCAGTCAGTGAGTCAGTCAGTGTCAGTCAGTCAGTCAGTCAGTGTCAGTCAGTCAGTCAGTCAGTCAGTCAGTCAGTCAGTGTCAGTCAGTGTCAGTCAGTGTCAGTCAGTCAGTCAGTCAGTCAGTCCAGTGAGTCAGTCAGTGTCAGTCAGTGTCAGTCAGTGTCAGTCAGTGTCAGTCAGTCAGTCAGTGTCAGTCAGTCAGTCAGTCAGTCAGTCAGTCAGTCAGTCAGTCAGTCAGTCAGTCAGTGTCAGTCAGTGAGTCAGTCAGTGTCAGTCAGTGAGTCAGTCAGTGTCAGTTGTCAGTCAGTCAGTCAGTCAGTCAGTGTCAGTCAGTCAGTCAGTCAGTCAGTCAGTCAGTCAGTGTCAGTCAGTCAGTCAGTCAGTCAGTCCCTCTCTCCCCCTCTCTCCCCCTCTCTCTCTCTCTCTCTCTCTCTCACCTGTGTAGTTGCAGAAGTGGATCCTCCTCTTCTCGAGCTCGGGGTTGTTGCGGCGGTTGTACTTGGGCCCCGTGAGGACGCCCTGACCGTGCGTCATCAGCAGCGCGTGCGCCGACAGTCCTACGATCTTCGGGGTCAGTATCTGCTGCTGGTGCGGCTGCTGCTGATGCGGGTGCTGCTGCTGATGGTGCTGCTGCTGATGGTGCTGCTGCTGATGGTGCTGCTGCTGATGGTGCTGATGGTGCTGCTGCTGGTGCTGCTGCTGCTGGTGCTGCTGCTGGTGCTGCTGCTGCTGGTGCTGCTGCTGGTGCTGGTGCTGGTGCTGGAGGCCTCTGTGCTGGTATGGAGGGGGAGCGGGATGCGAGCCCAGAGACAGCAGCTCTGCCTGGGCGTCTGGACTCCCAGGCTGGGAGTTTGGGGGAGAGGGGGGGAGACTGTGGGGTCCAGGCCCAGAGGGGTAGTAGTTCTGCTGCTGCTGCTGTGGGAGGGGCTCCGTTAGCATGTAGCCGCCGTTAGCCCCCGTTAGCGTCACGGTGCCCAGGTTCAGCATGGTCCGGCCGCCTGCTGCTGATTGGCTCGTGCTCAATGTCATGGGGAGATCGGCGTTGCTGATTGGCAGATGGTAACCCTGTGAAAACAAGTGTTGAATAGAAAAGTTACATAACGCAGCTTTAAGTAAAACTAAATAATAAATACATCAATTTTTCCATCCATCCATCCATTTTCTTCCGCTTCATCCGTTGCCGGGTCGCGGGGGCAGCAGTCTAAGCAGAGACGCCCAGACTTCCCTATCCACACACACTTCCTCCAGCTCGTCCGGGGGGACCCCAAGGCGTTCCCAGGCCAGCTGAGAGACATAGTCCCTCCAGCGTGTCCTGGGTCTTCCGCGGGGCCTCCTCCCGGTGGGACGTGCCCGGAACACCTCCCCAGGGAGGCGTCCAGGAGGCATCCGGAACAGATGCCCGAGCCACCTCAACTGGTTCCTCTCGACGTGGAGAAGCAGCGGTTCTACTCCGAGCTCCTCCCGTGTGACCGAGCTCCGCACCATATCTCTAAGGGAGCGCCCAGCCACTCTGCGGAGGAAGCTCATTTCGACCGCTTGTATCCGCGATCTCGTTCTTTCGGTCATTACCCAAAGCTCATGACCATAGGTGAGGGAGGGAACGAAGATTGACCGGTAAATCGAGAGCTTCGCCTTTCGGCTCAGCTCCCTCTTTACCACAACGGTCCGATACAGCGACCGCATCACTGCGCACGCTGCACCGATCCGCCTGTCAATCTCACGCTCCATCCTTCCCTCACTCGTGAACAAGACCCCGAGATACTTGAACTCCTCCACTTGAGGAAGGACCTCTCCACCCACCTGAAGAGGGCAGGGCACCTTTTTCCGGTCGAGCACCATGGCCTCGGATTTGGAGGTGCTGATTCTCATCCCAGCCGCTTCACACTCGGCTGCAAACCGTCCCAGTGCATGTTGCAGGTCCTGGTTCGTTGGAGCCAACAGGACAACATCGTCCGCAAACAGCAGAGATGAAATCCTGTGGTCTCTGAACCGGACCCCCTCCGACCCCTGGCGCCTAGATATTCTGTCCATAAATACAGTGAACAGAACCGGTGACAAAGGGCAGCCCTGTCGGAGGCCAACATTCACCGGGAACAGGTCTGACTTACTGCCGGCAATGCGAACACAGCTCTGGCTCTGGTCATACAGGGACCGGACGGCCCTCAGCAGAGGACCTCCGACCCCGTACTCCCGGAGAACCCCCCAAAGGACACCCCGGGGAACACAGTCGAACGCCTTCTCCAAATCCACAAAACACATGTGGACAGGTTGGGCGAACTCCCATGAACCCTCGAGTATCCGATGGAGAGTATAGAGCTGGTCCAGTGTTCCGCGACCGGGACGAAAACCACACTGCTCCTCCTGGATCCGAGATTCGACCATCGGCCGTAACCTCCTCTCCAGTACCTTGGAGTAGACCTTACCGGGGAGGCTGAGGAGTGTGATCCCACGATAATTGGAACACACCCTCCGGTCCCCCTTCTTGTAGAGAGGGACCACCACCCCGGTCTGCCACTCCATTGGCACGGCCCCAATCGCCACGCGATGTTGCAGAGACGTGTCAGCCAAGACAGTCCTACAACATCCAGAGACTTTAGATAATCAGGGCGGATCTCATCCACACCCGGAGCCTTGCCACCATGGAGGCTACCAACCACCTTGGTGACCTCAGCCAGGGAGATGGATGTATCCGCCCCAACATCCTCAGCCTCTGCCTCTGAAACAGAGGACGTGACGGGGGGATTGAAGAGAACCTCAAAGTATTCCTTCCACCGCCCGACAATATCCCCAGTCGAGGTCAGCAGCCCTCCACCCCCACCATAAACGGTGTTGGCAAAGCACTGCTTCCCCCTCCTGAGGCGCCGGATGGTTTGCCAGAATCTCTTCGAGGCCGACCGATAGTCATGCTCCATGGACTCTTCGAACTCCTCCCAGTCCCGGGTTTTTGCCTCTGCAACAGCCCGGGCCGCGGCACGCTTGGCCTGCCGGTACTGGACAGCTGCCTCAGGAGTCCCCCGAACCATCATGGCTCGATAGGACTCCTTCTTCAGCCTGACGGCATCCCTTACTGCCGGTGTCCACCACCGGGTTCGGGGGTTGCCGCCGGGACCAGCACCAGAGACCTTGCGACCACAGCTACGAGCCGCCGCATCGGCGATTGAGGCAGAGAACATGGTCCACTCGGACTCCATGTCCCCCTCCTCCGCCGGGACCTGGGAGAAGCTCTCCCGGAGGTGTGAGTTGAAAGTCCGTCTGACAGGGGGCTCAGCGAGACGTTCCCAGCAGACCCTCACTATAAGCTTGGGTCTGCCAGGTCTGACCGGCTTCTTCCCCTGCCAGCGGATCCAACTCACAACCAGGTGATGATCGGTTGACAGCTCCGCCCCTCTCTTTACCCGAGTGTCCGAGACACGCGGTCGAAGGTCAGATGATACGACAACAAAGTCGATCATCGACCTCCGGCCTAGGGTGTCCTGGTGCCACGTGCACTGGTGGACACCCTTGTGCTCGAACATGGTGTTCGTGATGGACAGGCCGTGACTGGCACAGAAGTCCAACAACTGAACACCGCTCGGGTTCAGATCAGGGGGGCCGCTCTTCCCGATCACCCCTCTCCAAGTGTCACTGGCATTTCCCACATGGGCGTTGAAGTCCCCCAGGAGAATAACGGAGTCCCCGGGCGGTGCACCGTCCAGTACCCCTCCCAAGGACTCCAAGAAGGCCGGGTACTCTACACTGCTGTTAGGCCCGTAGGCCGTCACAACAGTGAGAGACTTGTCCCCCACCCGAAGGCGGAGGGACGCGACCCTTTCATTCACCGGGGAGAACTCCAACACGTGGCGGCTGAGATGGGGGGCAATGAGTATGGCCACCCCAGCTCGCCGCCTCTCCCCGCGGGAAACACCAGAAAAGTGGAGCGTCCAACCCCTCTCAAGGAGTTGGGTTCCAGAGCCCAAGCTGTGTGTGGAGGTGAGGCCGACTATCTCTAGTCGGTATCGCTCAACCTCCCCCACGAGCTCGGGCTCCTTCCCCCCCAGTGAGGTGACGTTCCACGTCCCAAGAGCCAGATGTTGTGTGTGCGGACTGGGTCGTCGAGGTCTCCGCCTTCGACTGCCGCCCAGTCCTCTTAGCACCGCTTCACCACGGACCCCTCTGCAGGTGGTGGGCCCACAGGAGGGAATAATAAATACAAATGTTTTTAAAACCCAAGTCTACGTCAGGAAAAGACTCTCCTGCGCTAGAATTACTGTTTCTAGTCTATCCATATAAAAAAACAGCCTCGGTCCTGGGTCTACGGCCTCGGTCCTGGGTCTACGGCCTCGGTCCTGGGTCTACGGCCTCGGTCCTGGGTCTACGGCCTCGGTCCTGGGTCTACGGCCTCAGTCCTGTGTCTACAGCCTCAGTCCTGGGTCTACAGCCTCAGTCCTGGGTCTACAGCCTCGGTCCTGGGTCTACAGCCTCAGTCCTGGGTCTACAGCCTCAGTCCTGGGTCTACAGCCTCAGTCCTGGGTCTACAGCCTCAGTCCTGGGTCTACAGCCTCAGTCCTGGGTCTACAGCCTCGGTCCTGGGTCTACGGCCTCGGTCCTGGGTCTACGGCCTCGGTCCTGGGTCTACGGCCTCGGTCCTGGGTCTACGGCCTCGGTCCTGGGTCTACGGCCTCGGTCCTGGGTCTACGGCCTCGGTCCTGGGTCTACAGCCTCAGTCCTGGGTCTACAGCCTCGGCCCTGGGTCTACAGCCTCAGTCCTGGATCTACACCCTCGGTCCAGGGTCTACAGCCTCGGTCCTGGGTCTACGGCCTCGGTCCTGGGTCTACAGCCTCAGTCCTGGGTCTACAGCCTCAGTCCTGGGTCTACAGCCTCAGTCCTGGGTCTACAGCCTCAGTCCTGGGTCTACAGCCTCAGTCCTGGGTCTACAGCCTCAGTCCTGGGTCTACAGCCTCAGTCCTGGGTCTACAGCCTCAGTCCTGGGTCTACAGCCTCAGTCCTGGGTCTACAGCCTCAGTCCTGGGTCTACAGCCTCAGTCCTGGGTCTACAGCCTCAGTCCTGGGTCTACAGCCTCAGTCCTGGGTCTACAGCCTCAGTCCTGGGTCTACAGCCTCAGTCCTGGGTCTATACAGCCTCAGTCCCGGGTCTTACAGCCTCGGTCCTGGGTCTACAGCCTCAGTCCTGGGTCTACAGCCTCAGTCCTGGGTTTACAGCCTCAGTCCTGGGTCTACAGCCTCAGTCCTGGGTCTACAGCCTCAGTCCTGGTCCTGGGTCTCACCTGAGGCTGTGGGGGCGGGGGTCCGATCAGCAGCTCGGTCTCTAAGCCTCCACTCCTGTTGGGACTCAGGTCTGGTTTGACGAACACACTGTTGATGTTGAAGACCGAGGTGAAGTCCGGCAGGGCCTGGGCTCCGAGGGGGGAGCAGCACGGCACCTCCAGGCCCGGTTCGGTCTTGATGGTCTTGGTCTGCCGGTACAGCCCGGTCCGCAGGTGCGTGGTACTGGGCAGGATCACGTTGATGTTGACGCTGTAGGGAGCGCAGGGTTTCTCCTCGCTGAAGAACTCATCCACCACAGACGCGCTCTCTCGCCGCGGCTTACGGTCCCCGGCCTCACAGTCCAGACCCGGGACCAGACCCGGGACCAGACCCGGGACCAGACCTGGGACCGGACCCGAGCCAGACAGGTACTTGTCCAGGTCCAGACGGGTCTAGAGCATCAGAGAGAGACACAAGAGGGAGTCAAAGGGAAGGACTGAACCAGAGAGAACCAGGACTAAAGCAGGTCTAAAGCAGGACTAAAGCAGGTCTAAAGCAGGTCTAAAGCAGGTCTAAAGCAGGTCTAAAGCAGGACTAAAGCAGGACTAAAGCAGGTCTAAAGCAGGACTAAAGCAGGTCTAAAGCAGGACTAAAGCAGGACTAAAGCAGGTCTAAAGTAGGTCTAAAGCAGGACTAAAGCAGGACTAAAGCAGGTCTAAAGCAGGTCTAAAGCAGGTCTAAAGCAGGTCTAAAGCAGGTCTAAAGCAGGACTAAAGCAGGTCTAAAGCAGGTCTAAAGCAGGACTAAAGCAGGACTAAAGCAGGTCTAAAGCAGGACTAAAGCAGGACTAAAGCAGGTCTAAAGCAGGTCTAAAGCAGGTCTAAAGCAGGACTAAAGCAGGACTAAAGCAGGTCTAAAGCAGGTCTAAAGCAGGTCTAAAGCAGGTCTAAAGCAGGACTAAAGCAGGACTAAAGCAGGTCTAAAGCAGGACTAAAGCAGGTCTAAAGCAGGACTAAAGCAGGACTAAAGCAGGTCTAAAGCAGGTCTAAAGCAGGACTAAAGCAGGACTAAAGCAGGTCTAAAGCAGGTCTAAAGCAGGTCTAAAGCAGGTCTAAAGCAGGTCTAAAGCAGGACTAAAGCAGGTCTAAAGCAGGTCTAAAGCAGGACTAAAGCAGGACTAAAGCAGGTCTAAAGCAGGTCTAAAGCAGGACTAAAGCAGGACTAAAGCAGGTCTAAAGCAGGACTAAAGCAGGTCTAAAGCAGGTCTAAAGCAGGACTAAAGCAGGACTAAAGCAGGTCTAAAGCAGGACTAAAGCAGGTCTAAAGCAGGTCTAAAGCAGGACTAAAGCAGGACTAAAACGGGTCTAAAGCAGGTCTAAAGCAGGACTAAAGCAGGACTAAAACGGGTCTAAAGCAGGTCTAAAGCAGGACTAAAGCAGGACTAAAGCAGGTCTAAAGCAGGACTAAAGCAGGACTAAAGCAGGTCTAAAGCAGGACTAAAGCAGGTCTAAAGCAGGTCTAAAGCAGGACTAAAGCAGGACTAAAACGGGTCTAAAACAGGTCTAAAGCAGGTCTAAAGCAGGACTAAAGCAGGTCTAAAGCAGGACTAAAGCAGGTCTAAAGCAGGACTAAAGCAGGTCTAAAGCAGGACTAAAGCAGGACTAAAGCAGGACTAAAGCAGGTCTAAAGCAGGACTAAAGCAGGTCTAAAGCAGGACTAAAGCAGGACTAAAGCAGGTCTAAAGCAGGACTAAAGCAGGACTAAAGCAGGACTAAAGCAGGACTAAAGCAGGACTAAAGCAGGTCTAAAGCAGGACTAAAGCAGGTCTAAAGCAGGACTAAAGCAGGACTAAAGCAGGTCTAAAGCAGGTCTAAAGGAGGTCTAAAGCAGGACTAAAGCAGGACTAAAGCAGGTCTAAAGCAGGACTAAAGCAGGTCTAAAGCAGGACTAAAGCAGGTCTAAAGCAGGACTAAAGCAGGTCTAAAGCAGGTCTAAAGCAGGTCTAAAGCAGGACTAAAGCAGGACTAAAGCAGGACTAAAGCAGGACTAAAGCAGGACTAAAGCAGGACTAAAGCAGGACTAAAGCAGGTCTAAAGCAGGTCTAAAGCAGGACTAAAGCAGGTCTAAAGCAGGACTAAAGCAGGACTAAAGCAGGTCTAAAGCAGGACTAAAGCAGGTCTAAAGCAGGTCTAAAGCAGGTCTAAAGCAGGACTAAAGCAGGTCTAAAGCAGGACTAAAGCAGGTCTAAAGCAGGTCTAAAGCAGGTCTAAAGCAGGACTAAAGCAGGTCTAAAGCAGGACTAAAGCAGGACTAAAGCAGGACTAAAGCAGGTCTAAAGCAGGACTAAAGCAGGACTAAAGCAGGTCTAAAGCAGGACTAAAGCAGGTCTAAAGCAGGTCTAAAGCAGGACTAAAGCAGGACTAAAGCAGGACTAAAGCAGGACTAAAGCAGGTCTAAAGCAGGTCTAAAGCAGGACTAAAGCAGGTCTAAAGCAGGACTAAAGCAGGACTAAAGCAGGTCTAAAGCAGGACTAAAGCAGGTCTAAAGCAGGACTAAAGCAGGACTAAAGCAGGACTAAAGCAGGTCTAAAGCAGGACTAAAGCAGGTCTAAAGCAGGACTAAAGCAGGACTAAAGCAGGACTAAAGCAGGACTAAAGCAGGACTAAAGCAGGTCTAAAGCAGGTCTAAAGCAGGTCTAAAGCAGGTCTAAAGCAGGTCTAAAGCAGGACTAAAGCAGGTCTAAAGCAGGACTAAAGCAGGACTAAAGCAGGTCTAAAGCAGGTCTAAAGCAGCACTAAAGCAGGTCTAAAGCAGGACTAAAGCAGGTCTAAAGCAGGACTAAAGCAGGACTAAAGCAGGTCTAAAGCAGGTCTAAAGCAGGACTAAAGTAGGACTAAAGCAGGACTAAAGCAGGACTAAAGCAGGTCTAAAGCAGGTCTAAAGCAGGTCTAAAGCAGGTCTAAAGCAGGACTAAAGCAGGACTAAAGCAGGTCTAAAGCAGGACTAAAGCAGGACTAAAGCAGGACTAAAGCAGGACTAAAGCAGGACTAAAGCAGGACTAAAGCAGGACTAAAGCAGGTCTAAAGCAGGTCTAAAGCAGGTCTAAAGCAGGACTAAAGCAGGTCTAAAGCAGGACTAAAGCAGGTCTAAAGCAGGTCTAAAGCAGGACTAAAGCAGGAGTAAAGCAGGTCTAAAGCAGGACTAAAGCAGGTCTAAAGCAGGACTAAAGCAGGACTAAAGCAGGACTAAAGCAGGACTAAAGCAGGTCTAAAGCAGGTCTAAAGCAGGACTAAAGCAGGTCTAAAGCAGGACTAAAGCAGGACTAAAGCAGGTCTAAAGCAGGACTAAAGCAGGTCTAAAGCAGGTCTAAAGCAGGACTAAAGCAGGACTAAAGCAGGACTAAAGCAGGACTAAAGCAGGTCTAAAGCAGGACTAAAGCAGGACTAAAGCAGGTCTAAAGCAGGTCTAAAGCAGGACTAAAGCAGGACTAAAGCAGGTCTAAAGCAGGACTAAAGCAGGTCTAAAGCAGGTCTAAAGCAGGTCTAAAGCAGGACTACAGCAGGTCTAAAGCAGGACTAAAGCAGGACTAAAGCAGGACTAAAGCAGGACTAAAGCAGGACTAAAGCAGGTCTAAAGCAGGACTAAAGCAGGACTAAAGCAGGACTAAAGCAGGACTAAAGCAGGACTAAAGCAGGACTAAAGCAGGTCTAAAGCAGGTCTAAAGCAGGACTACAGCAGGTCTAAAGCAGGACTAAAGCAGGTCTAAAGCAGGACTAAAGCAGGTCTAAAGCAGGACTAAAGCAGGACTAAAGCAGGACTAAAGCAGCAGTGGAAACAGGTTGATCCACATTTTTAGTCGCTGATGAATCGGTCTCTGAAGCTTCGTCTGATCCTATCTCTCTTTGTTTACATTCTGAGATCAAACTCGGAGCAAATGTGACAATAACAAATGTACGAAGACACAAAATAATCTTAAAACCATAAACACCAAACCTTTGATTATTCTATGTTTAGTTCCTTTCACTTTCAACAAGATTCACTCTGAACTAAACAAAGCAACGAAGCAGTTTTATTTCATCCAAAGTCCAGCGAGACTATGTTCTAATCTGGGTCTACAGCCTCAGTCCTGGGTCTACGGCCTCGGTCCTGGGTCTACAGCCTCAGTCCTGGGTCTACGGCCTCGGTCCTAGGTCTACGGCCTCGGTCCTGGGTCTACCGCCTCGGTCCTGGGTCTACGGCCTCAGTCCTGGGTCTACGGCCTCAGTCCTGGGTCTCAGTCCTGGGTCTACGGCCTCGGTCCTGGGTCTACGGCCTCGGTCCTGGGTCTACGGCCTCGGTCCTGGGTCTACGGCCTCGGTCCTGGGTCTACGGCCTCGGTCCTGGGTCTACGGCCTCGGTCCTGGGTCTACGGCCTCGGTCCTGGGTCTACGGCCTCGGTCCTGGGTCTAAAGCCTCAGTCCTGGGTCTACAGCCTCAGTCCTGGGTCTAAAGCCTCAGTCCTGGGTCTAAAGCCTCAGTCCTGGGTCTATACAGCCTCAGTCCTGGGTCTACAGCCTCAGTCCTGGGTCTACAGCCTCGGTCCTGGGTCTAGGGCCTCGGTCCTGGGTCTTACGGCCTCGGTCCTGGGTCTACAGCCTCGGTCCTGGGTCTACAGCCTCTGTCCTGGGTCTACAGCCTCAGTCCTGGGTCTACAGCCTCAGTCCTGGGTCTATACAGCCTCAGTCCTGGGTCTAGAGCCTCAGTCCTGGGTCTAGAGCCTCAGTCCTGGGTCTAGAGCCTCAGTCCTGGGTCTAGAGCCTCAGTCCTGGGTCTAGACGGCCTCAGTCCTGGGTCTACAGCCTCAGTCCTGGGTCTATACAGCCTCAGTCCTGGGTCTAGAGCCTCAGTCCTGGGTCTAGAGCCTCAGTCCTGGGTCTACAGCCTCAGTCCTGGGTCTATACAGCCTCAGTCCTGGGTCTACAGCCTCAGTCCTGGGTCTACAGCCTCAGTCCTGGGTCTACAGCCTCAGTCCTGGGTCTAGAGCCTCAGTCCTGGGTCTAGAGCCTCAGTCCTGGGTCTAGAGCCTCAGTCCTGGGTCTATACAGCCTCAGTCCTGGGTCTATACAGCCTCAGTCCTGGGTCTACAGCCTCAGTCCTGGGTCTACAGCCTCAGTCCTGGGTCTATACAGCCTCAGTCCTGGGTCTACGGCCTCAGTCCTGGGTCTACGGCCTCAGTCCTGGATCTACAGCCTCAGTCCTGGGTCTAAGCCTCAGTCCTGGGTCTAAGCCTCAGTCCTGGGTCTACAGCCTCAGTCCTGGGTCTCTAGAGCCTCAGTCCTGGGTCTAGAGCCTCAGTCCTGGGTCTAGAGCCTCAGTCCTGGGTCTATACAGCCTCAGTCCTGGGTCTACAGCCTCAGTCCTGGATCTACAGCCTCAGTCCTGGGTCTACAGCCTCAGTCCTGGGTCTACAGCC